AGTTCGCTCCTCTCTTTCAAAAGTAAAAGAAAGACTCCCTCCCTGGTACACAATCCCCCCACACCCCTCCCACCGCCCCAAGTACATTCCACTATGCAACCTTAATTGTGGACTCTTGTGATTATTTTTTGTTTTTAGGTTGTGGAAATAAAACTACAAGTAGAATTAGAAGAAAAAAGGAAAAAAGCCTTAAATATACAGAGAGTTTCCAGACGAGGTATGGTGCTTTATAAAAAAAAAATAATGTTTTTCTAGAGAGCCTTGTAGTAGCCTAATGGTAAGAAGCCACACTGCAGTCCCAAAGATAAGTGGTTGGAATCCACCAGCTGGTCTGTGGGAGAAAGATAGGCAGTGTCCTCCCATGCACTTTACTGCCTCTGAAAACCCACTGGAGGGTCAGTTGTGGGGTCAGTTCCCACTCAGCAGCACGCAACAGCAACAACAACAAACAACAACTGTAATTTTCAGATTTTATCCACTTCCTAAACAACATGCCTCTGGAAACTCCATGAACTTTGATAAATGACGATAGTTACAGAAAGGCTTCAGGCCTTTTGTTCACAGGGTCACTATGAGTCATGCTTGATGGCAGTCAACAACATAAAGGATAATATCTTATTATAAAGAAAATTATTCGGAGTATTTAAAAAATATTTTGAAAAGAAGAGTGTTGCAGTGTCACTGTGCCATGTTTAAGTAGAAACCTGTCCTCTTCACTGTGGTCCTTGTCAGTGGTTCCACATGACAGTCATTTCTGTGTGACAGCTGTGTCCCCTTCACTGTGGTTCTAGTCAGCATTTCCATGTGATGGCCGTGTCCCCTTCACTGTGATTCTAGTCAGTATTTCTATGTGACAGCCATGAGTATTATCCCTTAGGAGCTACATAGATAACTTCATGCTGGATTCTGGTGTCTTTGCAGTCTGGTGGCCTGAGTCATGGTGCATTGGTGGTAGGGAGTGTGACAGGGACTTCGGATGGATTTGAGTATGAGGAAGGTATTGGTAGGATCCCATCAGGTGGTCATGTGGGAGGAGTTGAAGCATTTGTTCCACTATTGAGATGTTTCTTGACATACTTATTGGACATGAACTGTTAGTGTATTTGGGCTTTTAGGAGCTCTGGTAGCTTAATATATACTGGGCAGTAACTGAATAGATGGCAGTTTGAATCCACCAGCCACTGCTCAGGAGAAAGGTGTACAGTCTGCTACTGTAAAGATTTAGGCTCAGAAACCTGATGGAGGGGGTGTCACTAAGTCAGACCCCACTTGGCTTCAGTGAGGTGGTTTTTTGGGGGTTTTTTTTTGGTTTTTTGGATGTTGTGCTTTAAGTGAGATTGAGCCAGTGCTAGTCACGAGCATAGATTTGTGAGTGGGGATTATGAGTTGCTGTAAATGAGCAAGTATTGGACCTAGAGAGCAGTCTTAAACATATCTTTGATGGATGGCTGAAAGCCATTGCTTTTACGGACTCTGGTTTTCAGATGCGTTCATTTCAGAATCTGACTCTCTCCTCTCTTTCCGGGCTGAGTGGCGACTGGAGTTGTAATACTTAAGGATGCTGTGGCAGAGTGTTGAATGATCCAGGAAGCTTCAAAAGAAGATGGAAGGAGTACACAGAATCACTGTTCCAAAAAGAATTGGCTTACACAGATGAATTTTGTGAAACAACATATGATCAAGAGGCAAAGGTGATGAAGGAGGAAATCAAGCTATTCTGGAGGAATTGGCAAAAAACCAGGACCATCTGGCCAGAGCCACGGCTGCCAGCAATGTGTTCAAGGTAATTCAGATATCTGTGAGCCTGGCCAGCCTGAGTCTGCTCACCGTCAAAGTGTGTACTTCATCAAAGAAGGACTCACCTGACAAAGATTCCATCAAGGTTGATGAGCTTTCACTTTATTCAGTTCCAGAAGCTCAAGCTAAATATGTAGAGGAGCCAAGGACTCAAAGAAAACATTTCACAGCTATGGCAGCTTTGCAAACAATATATAACATACTTCTATGCTAAGCCCAGGATGCAAAATATTGCTCAATGGCAGTTATGGATATCTTCAAAATGCCCCTCCTGGATTTTTCCCAAGACCAGTGTTACTGATTTTGCTGGCCTTGTTGGACTCATTTTCGCTAGAGGTTCAAAAATAAAGAAGTTGGTATATCCACCTGGTTTCATGAGATTAGCTCCCTCTATTTGTTATCCACAACGAGCTATCAGCATGGCCCAGGTCAATGGAGAAACATTATATGACAAGGGTTTGCAAGGATACATAGTTCTAGATTTGTTGAAGAACTTTCAAAATCTAGGGATTGTGAAGACTCCACCTGGATGTAAATAAACTTTGCCTTTAATCAGGGTAAGCACTAGAAATACCTTACAATAAATCAGTATTTCTACAGAAAAATGGCACGGAAGTCAGTATTAAAGGTAGTAAATTGGTTTTCTTCTTCAGGAAAAACTATACTACACATTTCTTTATCTTGGGTGATCCCATATTAAAAAATGGACTAATCTGGAATCTTTTCAGCTAAAGATAATGTACAAGCCTTAGAATTCCTTGTTCTTATGTTGCTATTTATGTACATAATTAAAATTCCAAAACAAAACAAAAAAACAAAGCCTCAGGAATTGACAGCATACTAATTGACATATTTCAACAGATACTGCCCTCCATGTACTCACCAGGTTGTGCCAAGGAAGTGTGGAGGACAACTACCCGGCCAACTGACTGGAAGAGATCCATATTTCCATTCCAAAAAAAAGATGATCTGACAGGCTGTGAAAATTATTGACCAATATAATTAATATCACATGCAAACAAGATCCTGCTGAAGATTATCCAAAAAAAGACTGGAACAATAAATCAAAAGAGAGCTGCTAGATGTATAGGCTGGGTTTAGAAGAGGCTGTGGCACTAGGATCATGATAGCCAACTTTAGATGGGTCTTAGCTGAAAGCAGAGACTACTAGAGAAATGTATATCTGTGTTTCATAGACTGTGCAAAGGCGTCTGACTGTATGGATCATTACAGATTGTGTCTGACATTTTGAAGAATGGAAATCCCAAACACTTGATTGTGCTCATGCAAAACCAGACTTGGACCAAGAGGCATTTGTCAGAATAGAGCAAGGAAACACTGTATGTTTCAAGATCAGGAAAGGTGTATGCCAAGGACGCATCCTATCTCCATACCTTTTCAGTCTGTATGTAGAACACATCATCCGGGAGGCTGGACTCTAAGAGGAGAAATGTGGCATCAGATTGGGAGGAGATTGATCAACAACCTGTTTAATGCAGATGATACAATCTTGTTTGCTGAAACTGAGGAGGATATGAGACGTTTGCTGCAGAAGGTCAAAGACTGCAGCCTTCAATATAAATTGGAGCTCAACCTCAAGAAAACAAAGATTCTCACCACTGGGCAAATTGGCAGAATCTTGATAGATGGAGATGAGATTGAGATTGTTAACAGCTTCAGGTTGCTTGTTTCCACAGTCAACACTCTTGGTACCAGCTGCCAGGAAATCAAAAGACAAATTGCATTGGGAAATCGGCTATCAGGGACCTCTCTAGAATACTAGAGAGCAACAGTATCAGTCTAGAGACTAAGGTGCACTGATTCAAGCTGTGGTCTTCTCAGTTACTTGCTATGCATCAGAGAATCGGACAGTGACTAAGGATGATAGAAAGGCATTGATGCCTTTGGGTTGGGCTGGAGAAGAGTCTTAAACATACAGTACACTATCAAGAGAACAAACAGGTATGTCCTGGAGAGGGTGAAACCAGGCTGCTTTTTGGAGGCAAGGATTTTCAAGTTCTGTCTCACATACTTTGGGCATGTTGCCAGGAAGAACTGGTCCTTAGAGAAGGACATCATGCTTGGGAGGATGAAGGGACAGTGCAAGAGAGGAAGACCCTGAATGAGATGGATTGACTTAGTGACTGGGGTAATTGAGGTAGGAATGTCAGAGACAATGAAATTGGCTCAAGATAGAACAAGGTTTAGAGCTGTGGTACATAGGGTTGCTATGAGTCACAAGCAACTCAATGGCATGTAACAACATCTCTTGGTCCTGGGATGACTCTGGGAGTTGAGCCTCCTGAGATTCCTCTATCCTTGAGAAATCGGGGCTGAGGGCCAGCTGTGGAAAGTCATAGAGCTCTAAAATAACTACCTCGTGCAATTACCTCCCCTCACTGCCATCGAGGATGTCTGGGGCCCTGCAGGGGGCACTGCCACCACACCATGTGGCCTCACCACCCAGGCTGTGTGGCTCCTGGGTCATTGAAGGACAGGCCAAGTGTCCACTGGATCTCTCATTTGTTGGAGGGGCCATGGGACAGGGCTAACGTGGCAGAAAGTCTTCATGTCTGACCATGTTCTTTGTCTCTTTAGGAAGAGAACCCCGGAAGCTGGGACTTGACACTCTACCGGAACGCTTCCTGGTGAGTGTTGATCACTGTCACCTTATTGCTCTGTAGCCTCAGCCCCTATAAGTGCTGTTACAGTTGTCATCTGGGGAAGCAGGTGCTCTAGGACCATCATGCGGTCATCAGGAAGTCTGTCTGCTGTGATGACACTGGTCCCCTTTAGCCATGGACAGCTACTTTGCACATGGGGAGAATCTGACCTAACTTCCTTCCTGAGGGCACTGGCCAGGAGCCAGGCTGGTCCAGACATCCAGTGTTCTTGTGAGCACATTCTAGATAGATAAATCTTCCATAGGCTTTCAAGATGCTTTGTGTAAAAAAATGATGACATGGAGTTTCCTCCTACATCCTTTGAGGAGAAAAACTACATAGAATTAGAGTCAACCAGAGGACACCAAAAAGGCAGTATTTGTGCAGAAGGAAAGCTGAGAGGCAGGAAGAAAGATGAGTGGAAATAGGAAACCCAGGGAGGAAGTGGGGAAGGTGTTCTCAGTGTCACAAAATGTAAATGGAAATCAAATTAACTTTGTGGACTTCCACCTAAAATATAGTTTAAAAACCAGAAAGAGTGCCGCATGTGGGTTTTTTCATCAAGTATGTGAAGTTAGCATAGTTTTCTAGTTTGTCAGAGTGTGTGTTCAGGGAGGCTGAATGGAGTCTTGTTTTGTCTTCTAAGGACACACGTTCTTTGTTTCAGGATTCAGGAATGTCTGGAAGGAAAAGAAAAGCCAGCACATCTCTAACGGATGATGAAGGTCTGTGTCCTGCCTGGTGCCGCCTCCTCTGTCGACAGGCTCTGTACCTCCAGTACCTCTGCCACTCAGCTGTTCTAGAGGAGCAGGCTGTCCTGGGCTAGCTGAGACCCCAGCACTGCTTCCCTCTCAGGCCCCAGGCCCCACCCCAATGTTGCTGCCAGCCTCTGATGTCCATCCTAGTCTGCTGCTCAGGCCCCAGGCCCCACCCTAACGTTTCTGCCAGCCTCTGATGTCCATCCTAGTCTGCTGCTCAGGCCCCAGGCCCCACCCTAACGTTTCTGCCAGCCTCTGATGTCCATCCTAGTCTGCTGCGAGGGCCCCAGGCCCCACCCTAACCTTTCTGCCAGCCTCTGATGTCCATCCTAGTCTGCTGCTCAGGCCCCATTCCCACTGTAATCTTCCTTCTGGGCCCCAGTATCCTCCCTGACCTCCCTCTCAGACCCTCATGTCCACTCTGACATCTGTCCTGGGCCTGATGTCCACCTTAACCTCCCTCCTGGGCCCTGATGTCCACCTACACCTCCCTCCCAGGGCCCCATGTCCACTCTGACTTCTCTCTCTTAGGCCCTGTTGTCCATGCTAACCTCCCTCCTGGGCCCCAGTGTTCACTCATGCCTCCATCCCAGGGCCCAGTGTCCACCTAACTTGTCTCTCAGGCCCTACTCTCCACCCTTACCTCACTCCCCATGTCCCAGAGTCCACCGTAACCTCCCACCTGGGCCCTAATGTTTACTCTAACTTCGCTCTCTTAGGCTCTAAAGGTCCACCATAACCGCCCTCTCAGGCCCATGCCTACCCTTACTTTCTTCCTGAATCCCAATATCTACCCTTACCTTCCTCCTGGACCCCGATATCTACCCTAACCTCCCAGCTGAGCCCAATGTCCACCCTAACCTCCCTCCCAGGCACCGGTGTCCATCCTAACCTTCCTTCTGGTGTCCCAGTGTCTTCCCTTACCTCCTCTCTGGGCTCCAATGCCCACCCTAACCTCCCTCCTTGGTCCTGAGGCCCATAACCTCCGTCCTGAACTCTGATGCCTACTCTGATCTCCTTCTTGTGCCCTGAAGTCCCCTTTAACCTCCCTCCTGGGCCCTGATGTCCATAATCTCCCTCCAGGGCCCAAGTGTCCACCTGAATCTACCCCCTGGCCTTGAGGTCCATAACTTACTTGCTAGGCCTCAGTACCCACCTTAACCTCCTTGCACACCAGTGTCCACCTTAACCTCCCTCCCTGGCCCCAGTGCCTACTACCCTGACCCCCCCTCCTTGTCCTTGATGGTTACTCTAACTTCCCTCCTTGGCTGGGATGAATGCCCTGTTCTTTCCTATTGGTCTTTTGGGCACAGAGAGCTCTTCTGTGTCCTTTGAAGATTGGGAGGGAGGTCTGCCAGTGTTGTCTGTAGGGAGATGCTACACTGCTGACCCAAAAATAGTGCCTCTGGCAGTTTGAATCCACCAGTGGGTCTGTGGGAGAAAGAGAAACAGTCTCCTCCAGTGTGATTGACAGCCTGTGGATCAGCTATGACTTGGTTCCAACTCCAGGGCAACACATTAGAGGACTGGGTGTCTGCTGAGCTGCCTGGTACAGTCTCATGTGGGAGGGTGGACATGATGATGCATCTTGGTGCCGTCTGTCATCATGCGTGTAGCCACAGGAACAAGAGGTGTCTCAGTGGGTTGGGGTTTCTGGGCAGGGCACATGCCCAGGGGCCCCATGCCCAGTGTGGGGTGCTTTGGAGACGCTCAAAGGCCTTGAGAACCTTGATGGTTTCCTCAGATGAAAGCATGTGACCCACTGTGTGTGAGTGAGTGAGTGTGCGTGTGTGCATTCCTGTGTGTGTACCAGTGGTCAGCCCTCACCTGCCCATCCGTGGGTCATGGTGCTGGGCAGTTCTGAGCTGTGAGGATAGGGAGTAAGAATTAGAGAGTGGGGACGGGATCTCATTCAGGTATCTCCTCACCAGTCCTTTGCCAGCACTGTGTGACTGCTCCTGCAGTGTATTAGGTTAGCAGCACTGATCAGGGGCTCATCTAATCCCCACTGTACCTGTATCAGGATGTTCTGTTCCGTGATGGGGTTAGTGAACGTGCCTGTGAGATTTAAAGTCTGAGTTTCACAGGAACCTTGAGTGATTATGGTCCACAGAGGCGAGAAATCGAGAGGGCTTCAGTGTTTTCTGTCCTCAAGCATGTTACCTCGCACTCTGCTGATGCCTCCAGCACTGTCTTCGCAGGCCGGAGGTGGTGGTACAGCAGGGTCCTGCCTGAAGGTCTTGCTCTTGGGGTGGTCCCTTCAGTCCTTCTAATAACAGGATGGTCCCCTCAGTCCTCCCAGTGACAGCATGGTCCTCCCAGTTTTCCCAGTGACAGGATAGTTCCCCAGTTCTCCCAGTGACAGGATGGTCCCACCAGTTCTCCCAGTGACAGGACAGTCTCCTCAGTCCTCCCAGTGACGGTTCTTCTCAGTCCTTCCAGTGACAGGACGGTCTCCTTAGTTCTCTCAGTCCTCCCAGTGACACAATGGGCCCCTCTATCCTCCTAGTGACAGGATGGTCCCTTCAGTCCTCCCAGTGAGGAGGTGGTGGTACAGCAGGGTCCTGCCTGAAGGTCTTGCTTTTGGGGTGGTCCCTTCAGTCCTTCTAATGACAGGATGGTCCATCTGTCCCTCCAAGGACAGGATGGTCCCCTAGTCCTTGCAGTTGTAGAGTGATCCCAGCCCACAGCCCTACCACTGGCCACTTCTAGGGCTTTGTCTAATCACTGCCTACTTTCCTGTAGGTGACAGTGGTTCATGGGTGGGATCACTGGTGTTGCCAGCTGGGGTTGTGAGAACATGGACTCTTATAGAGTGATGATTTCTAGAGAACGGAGCAAGGTTCAGGGCTGAAGAAGTAGGGTTGAGAGTGGCTGAGACAGACTGGGGTGTGGCAGCCCCTGGGGCTGTGAGCATTTGAGGACTCCATGGCCCAGGAGCTCAGGTGGAGAGAAAGCTGCATAGGCCTCACTTGCTTATGGTGGTTTGCGGAGTATCATCGGGGAGAGACAGCTCAGAGCATGTACCAGTAGTTCCTGTGGCTTCTGCGGAGCTGGTGGCCCCCCGCAGATCTCTGCTGACATTCGATGGTGACTTTTAGTGGAAGATGAAGAGGAAACAATTGAAGAGGAGGAAGCAAACGAAGGATTGGTGGACCACCAGACAGAGCTGTCAAATTTAGCCAAAGAAGGTAAGCTGTCTTCACCTCACTTAGCACTGCTGTCAACTGTATGTGGGATGACAGCATTTAAAACTCATGTCTCAGATAAAAGTATCTCTGCATCATGCATGCACATGTAAAGAGGGAGTGTTAATGCAGATAAACAGCCACATGGTACTTTGTGAGTAGCCTCTGGGGCTTAGGTCACAGCCAGATATGGAATGGGGCCTGGGGTTCACAAGTGCACCTGGAGAACGGGGGTCTAGGCTTCAGTGTCACACATGGAGGTGGGGCCCGGGGTTAACAGTCACACCTGGAGATGGGTCTGGGGTTCACAGGTACACCAGGAGATGGGGTCCAGGGTTCATAGTTACACTGGAAGTGGAGACAGTTTAGAGTCACACCTGGAGACTGGGTCTGAGGTTCACTGTCAAACCTGGAGATGGGGTTTGGGGTTCACAGTCATACCTGGAGATGGGATCTGGGGTTCATAGATACACTTTGGGAGGTGGTGGTCTAGGGCACAGCCACATTTGGAGGTGGAGACCAGCCGCCTCAGTGTCCTTGTGAGCCTGCATCTCGTCATCTGAGCAGGTCTAACTCATATTTGTGTACGTCCCCAGCATGTCCCTTCTAGAGCCTCGTCCTGCAGATGTGTACAGGTTTGAAGGCTCTGTCGTAAGAACTTTTTCTCCCATGTCTTCTCCCTGGCTGTGTTATGTTGTGTTAGGATTGCCCTAGGACCTCTTGCAAATTGTCTTCTTGGCTTGGTTTGGCACTAGCTCTTCTCTTCGGTCTTGTCTGGTCCATAGATAGCACTGGGCACATCTCACACATGCAGAAGAGTGGGAAGACCCCACGGGGCACGGGCATTGGCCTCCTAGGCTGTGGTGAGCACAGTCTGTGCTGACGTTAGCACGTCTCTGTCGGCCTCTCCCTGTCAGTCCAGCAGGGGTCATGTTCACTTGTGGACAGTGCACTCTTTAAAGTCTTTGAAATGTAGTTAGGGTAGAGTATGATGCTGACCAAGTTTTTGAAATGTCTTTGACATGACTCTGGATTCATATTTCTGATTACTCTCCTGGATAGAGCCACTGATGAAGGAAATTGTGAGGTCAAAGGGTATGACTTTTCAAATAAATGAAGCCGCTGACCACAGGACCACACGCAGGAACATCCCCAGTGCCTGTTCTCCCACTGCGGCTGTCTACAGTGATGGTTGCTTTGAGAAAGGATTGATTTGATTTGTGTACTGAGTGATTGCTAGAGGTGCTGCACTTGAAGAATACTGGGTTTGGAGCTTTAGAGTGAGGTTTTGTCAACTGGGTAATGAAGCATAATGTAAGCTACTGTTACTTATGTGGTTACATAGTATCATGAGATCGCAACATGGGTTTTTCTTCCCTTTTTTGTTTAAACCTGATTTGATATACTTTACATTTTTATCTCCTCTCATTATCATCAGTGGCATTCTTACTTCCCCCCCTTTTTGTACCTTCTGGGTGTTCCTGTGGGCTTGGTTAGTAAGTAATTTCATGACTCACTCTGTCCTCTAAAGAGAACATTGCCAGTTTTGGGTCATCAATGGCACCCACTTTGTATGTAAAGAAACGATGGTGCCATGCTCCTTGAGAGGCTTTTGTCTTTCCCGGCATGCCCCCTCGCCCTGTCCCCTCCCCACTGCAGCAGCCAGGTGCCTTCACACATTCTCATCCTGCCTCTGTGCTACTTTGCAGCGGAATTGCCCTTAATTGATCTGATGAAGTTGTATGAAGGTGCCTTTTTGCCAAATTTCCAGTGGCCTCAACCTAAACCCGACAGTGAAGAGACAAGCGAGGAAGAAGGTATGCATCTAAATCCTTAAAAACATCTGCTGTCTCAGGAAGGAAGGCCAAAATGGTTTCTGTGGAAAGAGGCTTCAAAATTGCCTTCTCTTTTTAAATTTTTGTTTTCATACAAATTTCATATACATTGTGTTTCATTCATGTACATTGTGCTTCATACATTCCTTCAATCACGTTGTATTTCATATGATCATGTCCATACACTGTGTTTCACAAAATTAATCACTATTGATCTATGCCCACTATCACCCTATCACTTTTGAAAATGACGTTGGAGTTGTATTTATTGTATGATTTTTTTTTAGTTAAGTATGAGTAGTTTTATAAATAAATAAATATGAATGGTTTTATTAAATGCTGTGCTGTTTATTTTTAAACTTGAGACTTTTCAGAGAACTTAAGTTGTAAACGTTGCCAATATAGCTGCCTTCAGATTTTTTTAAAATCACTGTCTAATAGACCTAGATTTCTATCACTTTCATTTCTACTGGGCTGTTGGTTGAACATACCAGATTTGAGTTTTTTTGTACAGACACAGGACACCTTGTAATATGAAGACTAGTGTCCACCTTTCATTTTTGCTCAGACAGTCCTATTATTGGACAAGTCGGGTCTTGGGAAGGTTCTTGGTACCACAGGGAGCCCTCCAGTCCCCATTTCTGGAGTTAGGACCTGTGGGATCGAGGAGGAGGAGGAGGGTCTCCTTGAGTGGACTGCACTGTGGTGACAGTGCCACGTTTACTTTCTTGGAGGTGAGTGGACGTTACTCACCCTCAAGCCATAATAGCAGACTCATTGCCATGACCCTGACCCTGCCTCAGAGTGTATTATTAAGTCAGAACCAAGTCACGGCTGACCCTCCAAGTTTTCGGAGGCAGTATATCACACAGGAAACTGTTATCTTTGTCCTGCAGAGTAGCTGCTGGATTCAAACTACACACTTCGCATTGACAGCACAGCTCTTTCCCAGTAAGCCACTTGAGCTCTCTGAAAGTGAACGTTGTTGTTGTTGTTGTTGTTGTGTATTGTAGAGTCGCAGTTGACTCATAGCTGATTCTCTGGTGAGTTTTTTCCCCCCACGGAGCAGCTGGTGTTTTAAAACTGAATGCCTTCAGGACTGCCTTGCAGCTTCTTGCCACAAGGCTACCCGAGCTCCCTTCAGAGTGAACATTAGTTTCCTGTAAACCTCCTGGCATTAGCTTCTGATCACTGTGGGATTGTTATCAGCTGCCGAGGGTTGGGGCCGATCATTCTAGTGTGTTTTCTGGAGCAGGGCTGTCCTTGGTGGAGTTTGTCCACAGAGGCCTGCCAGGTGCACATGCACTGAATGTTGACATTCCATTCTTCATGAACCATCTGCTGGGACTCAGCTTCCCTCTCTTCTGCTTCCCAGGGACTTGTCCCAGTGGCCACTGACTGCGTCTTCTGTGTTGTTTCTCATAGATGTGGAGGACAGCCTGAGTGACAGGGACAGTCGGAAGGATCTGGTCCTCATAGACTCCCTGTTCATTATGGACCAGTTTAAGGCTGCGGAGAGGTTGAGCATCGGAAAACCAAACACCAAGGACATTGCAGAAGTGACCGCCGTGGCTGAGGCCATCCTTCCCAAGGGCAGTGCTCGAGTCATAACCGCGGTAAGGCCCAGGCCACCTTTATTCCTTACTTCTTGAACTGGGAAAAAACCACACGTCAAAATAACTATTTACAGCTGGGTTGCATTTAGTCCATTCAATTATTATACATCTTATCTAGTTCCAGACATGCTCATACTCCAAATGAAGACCCAGTCTCCACCCATGTTAGCCCAACTGCCCTGTTCCCTGGACCCTGTCCATCCCACATCTCTCCTCTCCTTAGACGACTCTGACACCCTGCTCTCCCATGCACTCCACACCACTCTCTTCTCCTTACATCACCCTGACACCACACTGTCGGCTGCTCACCCCACACCACTCTGCTCCCCCTCCACCCCGCATGACTGTGCCCCCC